CTCGCGTTTGGGCGATCGATAGCGTCGCACGGCGACGCGATCGGTCATCCAAACGCGCGGCCGAAGCACCGCCGTCGCGAAGTCTGAACGCTGCCTAAGCAATTGTTGAAAAACGACTAATACGAATGACATGACACAGTTGTAATGTATTCTGCCAAAGAGGTTGGTAGGTGAAGAAAGAGAAGAGAGAAGCTGACACAGGACACAGTCTTCTCGCTTGCTTGCTTCGAGAACTGTTTAAAAGGGGGTTGGAGCCGCGCCGAACTATCTGACACGTCCCTTCATCTGCAGCGAACCACACTATGACATTTCACGTAAATTTTTGATAAGACCACGGGAGTCGTCATTGCGGTTTATCTCGTCGATCTTTCAGACACCGGCACCGATAAATCAGCCGAAAGGCGACGAGGAAGAGTTAGTCGTTAATGGCTTGTCAAAGGGTACTTTTGTTCTTGCTTCATGTGTGTTTCAGCACCGGATCTCCATTTCTTCCAGCTTCCCTTTCTCCGAGTGAAAATGGTATAATGAGGACGTCTCATTGCTACTGCAGGTGCTTTCCTACTCAGTTCCTCTTTCATAATAATTATAAGCAAAAGTTAGCACAGGAATAAGAGCTATGGATTATGTCTCTGCCATAGATCAATCCCTTGGTAATACGCGGCACGAATTCTACTTCCATCCGGAATCGTAGTGGCCTACTGAATGCGGTATGGCCTATGCAATGACTTGCGGATTTGTCTGTCTGTCCTGGCCTACTACAAGTCAGTGTTCTTAACCTCCCAGACAAATCTGGTGCCATTCTCCCATCCCGGCTAAACGGCTTCGTTTTCCTAGGCGAGAGCCAATCCCAGATTTGATCCCCGGACCGTGTGAGTGGTAAGCGTGCCACTCGCAACTACCTACACCTTCTCCGCCTCAAAAGTCATATCCTAAGAAAAGTCGCTAGAAATTGCAAATATAAAGAGTCCCTCCAGAATTTACAAGATGATACTGTGTGCCTCAGAGTGGGCAACTTTCCAGAGAGTATGATTCACGTCACCTTTGTATGCGTCCTCTTACCAAGATAACATGATATGTCCTAACTTCATTTCACTATAATCCCACTATATATAATTCGCTAAGTATGTCTGTCTGTCTGTGTGTGCGTGCGTCTGTCACGAAATTCATAGCGACCGTCCCAGTTGCTGTAGGAAGTTGATTCCAAGCAATGATATAGGGGCTGTGACGGGAACATTATTGGTGGGTGACAGGGAGTGATATCAGCTGATAAGATCCGATAAGAGGCGTCAGAAGGGGAGGGCACCGAGTCCATAGCGCGGGTCACAGCAACAATGGGACCTTGGTTCCAAGAAGAGATATAGGGGGTGGGACGGGAACATTATTGGTGAGTGATAGGAACTGCTAGCAGCTGATAAGATTTGATAAGAGGCGTCTGAAGGGCAGAGCCACCAAGTCCATAGCGCGCGCAAGAAGAGATATACGGGGTGGGACGGGAACATTATTGTGACGGTGACAGGAAGGGGAGCAGGTGCTATGAGGTGAAAGTAAAAAGCTGACATGGAAAAATCAGCTACACCGCTCACAACAACATTGCATCGATATGACCCCTGTATCACGATCTCAATCATTTCAACACAGTTTATTCCTCACTGCTTACCAACG